ACCACGATCCATATTAACATACCACTCATCAGTACAATCAAGCAAAGCAGTGGACGTGGAATGAAAGCGCCTGAACCCAAACTGCTGTTCAGACAATAAATTATTGGTAGTAAAATATTCGTATAACTGCTCATACAAGATCTTTTCAAATATTTTGCTGATGACCGGCAAAATTGATATTGGCCTATAATTGTCTAAAACGGAGCGTGAACCCTTCTTATGAAGCGGTATAACTCTAGCACTTTTCCATTCAGAGGGGAAAATTCCCATCCCAATAGCAGAGTTAAACAAATTGGTCAAAGATGGTGTAATTACAGAAGCAGATTTTTTTAGAATTTTAGCCGGTATTTTGTCACATCCAGTAGATTTAGAAATAGACAAATTGTTAAGTAGCCTAAAAACCTGTGATTCGTTACCAGGATGCAAAGTAAATTCCAAACTAGTATTTAGATTATCACTCATATGCCTGCCAAAATTTAAATTTTGAGTGTGTTCAGAGCAGGAGTCTCCAATTTTACCACCAATACTTGTAAAATAGTCATTAAGACAATTAGCCATTCTCATAGGAGAAGTAATTGTATCATTTCCTAGCTTTAATTCGTTAATCATTGTGTCCTTTTTTCTCCCAAGGATATCATTAATCGTCCTCCAAGCCTGTTTTGGATTGTTTTGATGTTTGTCAAATTTGCTTTTGTAGTAAACTTTCTTAGCTTCACGCATTGCAATGTTGACATTATTCCTATAATGTTTATACTGGCTCCAATCTTCACTTAAATCCGACAAAATTGCTTTTCTTTTCAAACGGTCCCTTTCAAACATTTTGTTTCTGATATTCCTAGAAATCCATGCCACAGATGTTTTATTTCGTACCCGTCTTTCCCTAACCGGGGCATGTTTATCAAGAACAGTTATAAAAAGATTTTTCCAACATTCCCATTTATTATCAATATCAGTTTCTCTGTCAACTAAATACCAGGGTAAGTTTATAAGGTCGACTTTGAAATTCTCAACATTGAAATGCTTGAAGCTTCGAAATTCGACTTTTTTGCTAGCGTGAGGTTTAAGATATGAATTAATTTTCCTTACTACATAAATTAAACTATGATCACTCACTCCCATATGAATTACATCATGAAATGCAATTCGCTCAGGACAGGAGGTAATACAAACGTCTAGTAACGTAGAAGACGATTCCGTAATCCTTGTAGGCTTATCGATTACTTGTGTAAGTTGATAAAGTTGCATGATAGAATGTAAGTGTTTAGCAGAAGAGTTGGACTGGTCTAACAGATTACAGTTTAGATCTCCTAATAAGTAAATTTCCTTGTTCTCGTTATCGACATTCTTAAGCAAAAATTCAATTTGTGAGAAAGATTCGACGGTTGCTGACGGCGGACGATAAATAGTAGAAACGATAAAGGAACGAGAGTTGGGCCGGTTAATTTCCAGACATACTGACTCTAAATTTTCCGGCACTAAATCACCACGATTTAAATATGATATCGTCCGCCTAATGTAAAAACAGACACCGCCACCGTGTTTGTTCCTATCCATGCGAACTATATCATATCCGTCAATATTAACAAATTCACTTGGAATATCAGGGTGAAGTCTTGTTTCATTGAGTGCAATATAAATTTGCAAACGAAAATGTATTTAAAGTGATCGAAGCTGTCAAATGGTTTACATCACTTAAAACGAAACCAAACGCCATGAAGTAGTCTATTTCGTGACTGTGCTCGTGAACGGTTGGTTTAAAAGAAAACGTGAAGAAAATTATGGCGCACTTGTTCAGACAAATGTATGTGGATGAAATTGACTATGAGTTGTTCACTCCTGAAAACTTACCGATTTCGTGTTTACGGAAATCGTATACCGTCAAATTCAGAAACTGGAAGAGGAGACACGCATAAATCAAGATGAAATTGATGGTAATCAATGGTCTTGGTTTGGACAGCGGATTGAAGGTTTAGATGAAGAAGAGCGCTGGATGAATTACGCTGAACAGGCTCTGGCAATGCTGAATCATGAAGTGATGTGGCAAGCAATCGTTGAAGCATGCAAGATGTTAAAGTATCCTGAACCATCAGAAACACAAAGAGATTATTTTGCAAAACTTTTTGACATATCATGTTTTAATATAATATTTGTGATGTTACTCTGAGTGTATATCCACACCGGGCGAGCTTGAAAAATATGCCCGACCACGGTGGGATTCGAACCTACGACCTTTGGAATACTAGCCCAATGCTCTTCCAACTGAGCTACGCGGTCAGGACGGTCAATGCTCTTCCAACTGAGCTAGGCGGTCAGGACGGCTAGTATTCCAAAGGTCGTAGGTTCGAATCCCACCGTGGTCGGGCATATTTTTCAAGCTCGCCCGGTGTGGATATACACTCAGAGTAACATCACAAATATCATATTCACCTGAGTACATTACACCAAGGTGTATTAAGTGTTGCCTTTTCAGTCGAAGTGCATGTATTGGTTGCAATGGACAATATATAAAATATAAAAATTACTGCAAAGTTTCTATAGTTTTTATAGGTAAAGTCGAACCTTTGCTTACAGACACCTTTCTAATACGGACATTTTGCCCTTTCGTTTCGATGTTAGTATATTAGTGAGGTTCGACTGCAGTTATACGTTCTTCAACCAATCTCGTAACTTATTAACAACTTACTTAATTAAGGTTACATTGCATGATAGACTGTTCTGGTAGATTGGACATTGCGCAACGAATCTTACGTGTAATTTTACCACATTTTCAGTGAAGAAAGCCAGAAAAATGCTGATTACGACAAAATACGTTGGGTGAGCTTTTAGTTACAACTTTTCGTGTTCTGCCTGACCCAAAAATACGGATTTCCCACGTAAATTGACAGACAAAATTGCTGTTTTGAAACTCATATTTTGACCACTTTTCTTCAAATTTTGACACAATTTTGATTGTGTTACAAATTATTCCATGTTGGTCGGTAGCTACACTTTTGTTTATTTATCGTTTTATCAGTAATTGAAATCGTCATCTTAGTCTACACGCATGCCGTGTAGAACAGGGAAATTTTTGCTAATTAAACGCCCACCAAGCGTATTTTTTCGTAAACAGCACTTTTTGCCTTCACTGAAAATTTGGTAAAACTACACGTAAGATTCGCTGTGCAATGTCCAATCAACCAAAACGCACGTCCATCACTTGATGTATAACACCAATCTTTGACTGAGTGTAGGAAGTTGTTATATATAGACAGTGTGCTAGCAAGTGGTATAGGTTAGCATTTTGCGTGCTCGTAGAGAACATGGACGGGTGCGTACTGATCGTGCAATCAAACACACACAGAAGGAGAGTATTGAACAATAAATATACATTTCAATAAATATATAATGTGGCGAACAAGCTCTCTTATACACTCCTGTGTAAATTTTGCACTTTAGTTGTTTCCAGCTGATGCTGTCCTAAAGGAAGAAGTGCGTTTGGATAAAAATCTTGTTTGTGGGCCTGTCATCAGAGTTTCTGGTCAGACGACTCCATTCCTCAAAGCAGTTGGTGTCGAGCTCACATACTCCCACCGCGACGTGGTTAATATCGAAGAAGAATTTCTACCAGTTGGAAAAAGGGTCAAGTTTACAACTGAGTATGGGCTGTTGCTACGTAGCCACAAGGAGACTGAGTCGAAGTCCAACTGGCAAGCATTCAATGACAGTAACGATGTTTATATTGTGCGATCAAGAGAGGACCAGCTTAAGTTCTCATTTTCAGTGGAACATTTTTCCGAGTAAGTGATTATGACATTTGCCGAGTCCGTGATTATTGGGGGGGGGGGGGGGGTGTTACCCCCCAACACCCAACACCCCCTCTAGCTACGCCCCTGAATACACGTGGGTTTCATTAGTTTTGAAGGGGAACTTAGTAGAGGAAATACGTATTGAAATACACGACAACAATTGTTGAATGAGGTTAGTGACGGATAAATAGACTAGAAAAGTAGAGACTACGATTTATATGATTCGTTTAAAAACAACCCTGCAACCGTCATCTTGTCTAATTTTAGTTATCTCGCGATCGTGTGCACGAAGATGAAGGCGATTCTTTCGTCACCGTGGACCTTGTTTACGGTGAATTATAACGACCCAATTCCTTATAATGGGGTCGTTTCCGCTGTGCACAAAACTGATAGTAACCCGAAAACACTTCGTGCTGTGTTGGCGCCCAAACACTGTATACGTCATTTGAAATTAAATGAAAAGGTTTTCATGCATCGCCTCAGACCTGGAGATCCAATATACTTCTGTGTTCCCATGTCAGATAGCAGTCATCTCCCTATTAAGGATCATACTTTGTGGTAAGTCTTAAATTTATGATGTAATATTTCTGTTTTGTGAAAAACACCACGTTTATTTGCTCCGCAAAGCTTTTAGTTTGTGTAGCTGGCGGTCTTAAGGGGTTGGAGTTGAGGTGCGGGCAGCGAAAATTAGGGAGGCGATGCGCGGGAAAGACGGAAATAACCCGAACCCCCTTAAAACCGCAGAATACAAAGGCTATTATTAGGCCTCGATCATACTGGATCATATAAGATAATATAATAAATAGTTCTTAATTTATTCTTATTTATAAAAAACTCCTAGCTTCCCGTCCAAAAATTAACGTCGATGACGTGAGATGAACCAATTTGGCGTTAGAACTCGCGTGAACTTTAGAAGTCGATTATCACAAATTGAAAATGGTCTTTTTTTGCGTATAATACAGCATATGTTTAGTTATATGTATAGGTAATCATGCGATGGCGAGTACAATTAGGGATTTATTGTACGAGTGATGTTTGGAAATTTTGCCAAAATTGGACGAGCCGCCGGGGCGAGTCCAATTTGGCAAATTTCCAAACATCACGAGTACTATTAATCCCTAATTGTACGAGCAACATCGCATGATTGCTTGTTTATTATTAACATGACAAAATTGGATACGTGCTTCTCAATGTCAACTCATATTCTCTCGCCAAAGCCCAGTTCTGCCAGACTTTCAACCAAAATTTGGTGCTTTTGTTTGTATTTTCATTTAGTTCTTTTGTTAATTAAAGCAAAATTTGGTGCTTTTGTTCGTATTTTCATATAGTTCCATCACGGCAATTTCATTTCACATCTGTTTAAAATACCTTTCCGCCATTTTGTTTGTTTTGGGAAAATCATTAATTGTCAGCATCCAGTAATTTTGTCATTCTAATAATAAGCTTATTTATAAACCACCAAACTAGGTTCATCAACTTTGTCAAAGCGCGAAGGGACAGGAATAAACTCCATCTGTAGTAAGCCATTATAGAATTGCGTCTGAAATATTTTGAAGCTGGAAAGTCTCGTCGTATATATTCTATTGTTGCAGCAAGACACCAATACCTCGATATAAATGCTAAAGGAGGTATAATTCAAACTATTATATTCATAATGCTAGTGTTTAGACGGCAAATTGACGCGGCATCAACGTTTTATAAAGTATTTATGTATCAACGATATTGTATTATCCTAAAGGCTTAGTAAGCAAGAAATTGTTTGCGCATCAATTCCTACAAATGCATTACAATTTACAAACAAGGCTATGAATATTTAAAGTTATAGGGGATATTCAGGGATAAACGTTTGGATAATAAGGACTAGAGCTTGGATAATTTATGGATAACTTCCGTACGAAATTACGTAATTTTTGACAAAAACATGACGTAGGCAATTTTGTGAATGACGACGGAAATTGGAGAAAAGTCAAAATAAGTGCCGAAACCTGGAGTTACGCGTGGCCATTCGCAGGTTGGAAACTAGAATTTGAGGGGTTGCGCTGCACCACTGGCGCCCCAACCAGTCCTGCGTAATGCTTTAACCTATTTTGCTGTTTCCTATGTAGGTTTAATCCTGATGAGGTATCGGAAATACAGAGCAATACAGATGATGATACTGATCTGAATGGGAAATACATGCATTTCTTGAAGGATAAAGAGTGCAATAATTGCGGAAATCATGATATATCAACACAAGAAGATGGTCGTGCGAAGGTACCAATCCATATTTCCGAAGCTGAACCAGTTCAGGTTGGTCGATGCGTATTACCGTTTGAGGCTTTTCATTATCTGTGAATATTTATGCCCAATATTTAAACAAAACCTGTTGCCAACAGCCAATGTTGCTCAAAATGACCGAAGTTTGAAGTAAACCCGCTCAAGCACGCAACGAAAATAAGTCGATAATATTTGCGATATAATGCAAGTTTAGCAAACGAGAAAGACGTGCAAAAGTAATAATTCATATTTTATTTTAAGTAAAATGGGAGAGAGAGGGTGGAGTGAAATTAGATTAGCACCATATTACTATTAAGGTAATTCCGCAGTTTTGCATTGCGCACTTTTACTGCGCACATCTTATAACTTGTAATTTCATCAATTATACGTACCGTTTAAAAAAAATCATTTTATGACAATTTTATGTTACTTCAAAACATCTTTGGTTACATTCGTGCAAAGAATTACATTAAAATCAATGTTTTCAAAAAAGGCATACAAAAGTGTAGCTAGGGTTGCTGTGTCTGTAGTATATTTATTTACTTGTATTTCACGTTTTAATGCAACAATTCCCAAAAAAGATCGGTGACCCCCGTTTTTTAACTGATAATTAATTTCCTTAATGCATTTTACATTTCATATCCGAAATTAAAAGAAAAATCATTTCTGGATCTTGAAAAAAAATCCTTTATCAATGCATGTTCTCAAAGAAAGATATGTAAAGAAATGTGGAAAAGACATTTGTGGATCAGAATT